GTCGATTAATTAATGTCTTTGCAATGAAATTTACAAATTCGATTTTAATTTGGTTTATGATCCCGACAAACAACACATGAATTTTACAACTATCAAAAGCACCAAAATAGATTAAATTAAAATTACCAGGCTTTTAGAAAGATAAAGAATATTCGATTATTTAAAAATGTCGAGACTAGATCTTAAATAGTTATAACAACATTTTCTCGATAAATTTAAATAGTCGAACATTTCTTTTTCTTCCATTCCCAAATTTTAAAATGATAAATTCATTCCTTAGGTGTCACTGATGGGATATACTTTTAATTTTAAATCGTCAAAAGCGGATATCTAATCAGTTAAGACAACCCACTTCAACAATTTTAAATTAAAATGATATTACCCTTAGTTAAATTATGTAATAATGTCGAGTTATGCACATGAGGATATCATGCAAAAAAATAAATAAAAATAATAATTAGATAATGTCACACATTCGAATAAACATCCAAGTCTAAAATAAAATATGCGCATACACTAAAATAATATAAATCGCTATAAAAAACCTACTGTCAATAACAACAATCTCATATTCAATACTGACATGGGGGATCAAAATAACAGAAAACTAGAACCAAGCATACAAAATAGAAATTAACCATTAAACTCAACAAGCATGCTAAGTGACTAAATTGTCAAATAACCAGAATTACAATTTACATTGGAAAATAAAACATAACATCAACTCAGGACTGACATGTAACACGCGAAACATTCAAGGTTAAATGTCTAAAAAACAGAAGCTAAGTACATTACTAATCAGGACTAAAATGCAACGTGCAAAACATTCAAGGTCAAACGTTTAAAGCAACGAAAAATCAGCTACAACAATACTCAGGACTAAAATAAAAGAAATCTAAAAAACAGACCAGAAATATAAGTAACACAAAATGTATACTAACTACCGAAATGGACTAAAATAAACATTATGAAATTTAAGAGCCGGATACATGAAGTTGTGGGAAATTTAAAATAACCTAACCCATACTAAAATGTAACAAACATAAAAATTGAGAACCCAATTAGAAAATTACACAACATTGAAGAAAGAGTTAAAACGAAACATATGAGAACTGCAGGGGACGTCTGCGTGGTTAACCCTCTCCTAGGCGTAGGTCCTAAACGGTGTCGTTTAGGAGACTGAAAATATTAGGTACCTTAGGTTTAGTTTTAACCTAATTTTCATTCTAAACTCAGCCTCACTTTGATAAACTCTTCCCCCCTTCTCTCAAAGCTCCTCTCATTCTCTCTCAAAGCGACCCAAATGAGACCGTGGCCACCATGGTCGCCACCCAAGGCTCCGATGAGGAGCCACACAAGCTCGAGTCCACCCCGTAAATCACCTTGGACCCTTAAGCTTCAAATCTCTCACAGCAAGAAACCATAACCCATAAGCTGAAAAATCTTACCCTTGATGACACAAAGAGGTTCGGGTTCCAGGCGGTGGTGATGGTTCTCCTCTCCGACTCAGAAAGGTATGGGTTGTGTGGTTTTGCTTTCTCCAACTTTTTTTGTTAGTGTTGATTACTCGGATATTTTCTTCTTCTTTTTTTTGCTTTCCACTGATGGTTCTTGGTTCCGTGTTCTCTCTGCCTCGTTCGTGATGTTGCAGGTCACGGGTGACGGCCTCGAGGGACTTCCCGTGGGGTGCTCGCGCTGCTCGAGAGGCGTGGATCCTGGATGCTGTCGGCTCATGAATAGGGTACGTGGGGAGCAGACTTCACGTGGGATGTTGCTCGGTCACAGCTGGGAGCCGAGCCTTGTCTGCTCAGTTGTAGTGCTGGCAGGACGTGGTTCACGAGCTATTGTTGGGCGCTCCATGTGGGGGACGAAACATGGGAGCATGGGCAGCCTGGGGCATTGTGGAGCCAGCTGGTAGCAGGCGTGAACCGCTTGGCATTCACGTGGGCAACTCGGTTGCTGCAACCGGGTCGGGTTGGTGCAATCGGGTCGGGTTGATGAAACTGGGCCAAACTTGGGCCTGATCTGCTTTTTGGGCTCTGGATGTAATTGGGTTTGATGTTGTTGTTGGGCTCTGGATTGGGTCGTAATTATTTGTAATCTAATTTGGTCTTGTAAGTGGACTTTAGAATTAATTTGGATTTTGGATTGACTTTGAATTTGTATCTCAATTTCCAAAACGAAAACGTATACGATATCAATCCAATTAAGCACAAAAGTTTCCAACTGCAAGCTTCCACGATTCATCACTTGAATTCATTCCCCATCGAGCACAAACAACTTCAAATTAATTATCGGTCATCTCGAAGGAATTTAAAAGGCCCGGACAAAATTAGGGTATTACAAGCTTCATTTGTTGAACCAGATTGGCAGCCATAATTAACCCCGTCTAGAACTTTGTCGACCTTGTTCAATCTTGAGGATTGGAACCCACCACAGCTTTTCAATTTCACCTTCTTCCTTTTTAGAGCTTTACCTTTCTTAGAAGCTCCCTTGTCAACCGAATTCACTCATTTATCAGCACTTAATAAATTATTTTCATCAAGTGAATTCTTCAAATCCATATTCTCCTTCAGAATTTGTGCAGTAGAATCCAGGCGCGAAACTTCTGCTAGCCCCTCTTTCACTACTCTGAAGGATGATACTTCTTCAACAGTGACATCCATCAATCTTGAATTATTAGAAATTGACTAGGACGCCCAAAGCTTATCCAAGTCCCTGTTTATTTCCACCAGCCCAACACTCTCATCTACGGGTTGAATACTTAGCCCAACATGAGAAATAATCGGGACATCAGGCCAAGCCCCCTCAACAACTGTCGCCCTAACCTCATTAATAACATCATGCTCTGATCTTCAATCCACCGATCCAACATCATTATCACTCCTATGACAAGAAGAAACACAAAGATCTACTACGTTAACACCAGTCTCGGGACCAATTCCATCAGCGCACGCTTCTTCGATCGGAGGGCCTACATCACACTCTTCTTTGATCAGAGGATCGGCGGTTACTTCTTCGGCAGCTGTTTGCCACACTCCACCACCAGCTAGAGAGCCGTCTATGAACATTCGAACCTCTTCCTGGATTTCAGCCGGATTTTGATGGAGTAAATTCTTTCATTAAAAACAATAGATACCTTATCTGGAATGTCTGAAACAAACTATACTTCCAACAGAATCTACGCTACATCAAACCTAGCCCGACTTCGAGTGTCTTCATCTATCGCTACAACTTTGCCCCACAAACTGCCTAAATCCATGAAGAACCTCTCACTCCATACTGAGAGCGGAACATCCATCAAAGTAATTCAGACGTTAACTTTGATTTTATTCTCATAGCCTTCCAGTAATTCCAGCTCATCAAACCAACAACGAACCCAATCATCTCTTTTAGACCAACAAATATGACGATCCTTTTCATTTTTAATTTGAATAACGACGAGGAGTTCATGCCAGATACTGACCTTGACTTCTAAACCTTCTGCACTAAAGGTTGTTTGCACAATATCTTCGTTATACATATTTTTTTATTTTTCCAACTAAACAATTATGGCACCATGAAACCTCCTTCTTCGAAATAGAAATATTCCTAATATTACGATCGGCTTTTGGTGCTAAACTAGGAACATTATCTTTAACAATCGAAACGTGAACTACATTTTCCGGCACTGATTTTTTACTAGGAGGAACGCTATCTTCATCAGCGTGTAATTTTCCATCTTCTGTCTGCAGACCTCCAAGGGCTTCCTTAAAGGACCAAGAATCTCGTAACGATGGCTTTTGAACTTTTTTAAAAACTCTATCAGTCTCAGACCTCTTATGCTTTGCTACATCCTTGTTATCATGAAAAACTCTAATCTTATAACCGTTCATAATCCTACCATCGACATTACGGACCGATGTTTCAGCGTCCGATTTGCTTAGAAACCTGACAAAGGAAAAAGTGGAACCGAATGCTTGTCTACTTTTGCTTCTATATGCTATAAACACGTCAGTCACAACACCATACTCCTTGAAAGCTTCCTTTAGAGTTTCTGAATGGATCCTCTTACCCACATTGTTAACAAACACAGAAAACCATTTGGAGACACGAATCGGATCCTCCACTACTGATTCTCTCCTCATCTTTCAAACTTTGTGAAAAATCTATGAATTTTGATAGAAAACTTCTGTGATAGATCTTGACAAAGTAACACAACCATCGAACAGGAAGGAATAAAAACCTAGTTTACTGTGGCTTTTACACAAACACCTTGCATGTAGAAGTAGCAGTCACAAATTGACTCCAGAAACAAGCTATATTATCACAATCCCACACCGAGGAGAAGATTAACTCAAGAACTTTAATACAAAATACTTAAGAAAACCAAAATTCCAGCACGAACTAGCAAACAAACTAAAAAGAAATAAAAACCAAAATTCCAGCACGAACCAGCAAACAAACTAAAAAGAAATAAATAACACTGGTAGAAGAGAAAGAGTCGATCTCACCAAGCTAGAAGAGCATACTGAATCAATCGTAATCCCAAAATCATTCTCTAAACTCTAAACCCCTAAATTACAACCAAGAATTGGCTTTCCAATGGGGTCGACTCTCGTAATCAAACTCATATCAGTACTCTCTGTTGTTCTCTCTTCAAGATTCAACCGCCATGAAAGATGACCAGCAACCTATCTCAATATTTGGAACCCCTTCACTCATCTCAAACTGCAATCTTTTTATAATCAAAACAAACTTATGATTTAATTTGAGAACACAATTACATCAGGTTATAATGATTTGATCAGCCAAATTGGACTAAAATTTCCAAACCATGGGCAAGTTGGTTAAAATCGTATATAATAAGGCATTTTTGGTCACTGAGGCGATTTTCTCTTTCTCATATTCACCCAGCTTTATTCCTCCAAACCATTTGATAATTGTTAATTATGGTATTTAAAATGCTAAATTGACGCTAGGATTGAATTATTGTTGTAAAACAAATGGAGCTGAACTAATGTCTTCTTATCTCCACAGATTCCCGCACATGTTTGTTTAATAACAGACTTTTTCCCTGGTGGAGAGTTATTTGCCCTGCTTGATAAGCAACCTATGAAAATGTTCAAAGAAGAATCTGCAAGGTGATAAGCACTAAAAAGAACCCGTTCTTCTTACTTGAAAAACATGAATCCTTCCTTGCATGTGGAATTTAATCATCTCCTCATAAAAAGTGGGACTAGGCTTCTCTGACAGAAACAGATTGATTCCTAGTACTTCTCCTAGTGTCTGATATTATTACTGCTATGTAATTGGTTTTCCAGGTTCTATGCAGCTGAGGTTGTCATTGTTTTGGAATATCTTCATTGCCTAGGTATCTTAATAAACTTGGAACAGATATATTTGGCAATATTAGCACTTCTTTTTTCCTTGTATCTTGATCGACTCAAAAGTCGCAATAATATGATTCAACTATTTTCTGGTTTATAACAGGAATAATATATCGAGACTTGAAGCCAGAAAATATTCTACTTCAAAAGGATGGCCACATCGTATTAACCGACTTCGATTTATCTTCTGACTTCTTGTAATTCCAGGGTATGCCATTTTTATGTTTTTACTTGGTATTTGATAAGATTGTTTGATAAATAGCGATAGATTTTGCATGAGATTAAAGTTTATAATAATTTGCAGGTTTTAAAGCATCCCATGCCTAACAAGAGAAGAAGATCTGGGAGTCAACAACCTCCTACGTTTGTTGCAGAACCATCTACAGAGTCGAATTCATTTGTTGAAACCGAAGAAAACATTGCTCCGGTAAAATGATTCAATTCAATTCATGCTTAATGTTCACAAGTTCAACTCCATTTATAATTTATTGTAGTTGCAACAAATAATATGTTCCCTTTCATATATTTCTTGCTTTCAGGAAATTATTACCTGTGTGGGACACAGTAGCACCATTGATTGGTGGTCTCTTGGTAAGTAAATGGTGATTTTGTGTAATTCCATTCTAAACTGGGTCTAGAGCATTGCTAATATTCTGTTAAACATGACATGCATGGAATTACATTTGGAATTTAGGTATTTTGCTGTATGAGATGATTTACGGCCGGAAGCCTTTTCGGGGTAAAAACAGGCAGAAGACTTTCTACAACATCTTGAACAAAGAACTCGCTTTCCCAAATAGCATTCCGGTACAATTATAATCCATCGAGTACGAATGATTTATATAGCAGTAGATTATATAACTTTCACCATCTTTCTGAAGATGACATAACAGAATTGTTTGGCAGAAACATAATATTTATGGATTTTGAACTACAATCAGTATGTTCATGCAATTTTAACTATTTAGATTCTCCACATGTTCTTATTGTTTTCTAGATACATCAGATGAAGTACAAGAACCAGATTCTGTGATATAACTGTTTACCTGTGCTGCTGAACTGAAATGCAGGTTAGTCTCGCAGCTAGGCAGTTGATTAACGCATTGTTAAACCGAGACCCATCCAGCCGTTTAGGGTCGAGGACTGGCACCACTGAAATTAAACAACACCCTTTCTTCCATGGCATTAATTGGCCTCTTATACGCTACACGGTAATCACACTTCCGCCTACATTAGAAAACTGAAACCAATTCGATAAGAAGATAACTTGTTGCTGCCGCTTCTGATACATTGTTTTGATTATTGTTTTTCACTTGCAGAGCCCACCGCCATTGGAAGTACCTCTTCATTTAACCAAGAAAGATACAAGTACCAAATACGTAAAGTGGGAAGAAGTGCTTGTTAGTTCTATTGACATGGATACTTTCTTCTAAAGGTTCGTTAACCAATCGTAGCTTTAAAAAACTATCGACGCCATCATATAGATTATGTCGTAATGTAGATTTACCTTGCTTATAGTAATTTCAGAAAGAATGATCCATAGAATCTACTTTTACACTAAACGAGTATGAACTCTTAAAATAGGACATTGCAGTACGACAAAAAACAAGATGCTTCCCAGTAAACAAGATGCTTCCCAGTGCGATTCAAGATGAAGCTAGCTGGTGACAGTGCACTTGCTGATTACAAAAGATCGACAGATTAGTCCTTATTAACATATAGACTATTTTGGCTGGTTAGGCTGGGAGACAGAAGTGACGGGTAGATCAATGTCATACCTTGAAGTCAGTTACTTGGAGGAGCCTCCAGGTTAAAAACTCCATAGTCAAGCTGTACCATGAATTTGACTTGATACTGGGAATTGTATACTAAATTTAAGTTCTATAAGATTTTGCTTAATGAAAACAGAGATAGTTGATATGAAACTCCAAGATTAGCAAAACTGAAAACCAGATAGCTTGGCATATTCTTCTAGGACCAAAGACAAAAATTTGTTCCAGAGCACTTGATACGGAAGTCCGAATTGTCTCTGAAAATGGAGGTTGGACTCACATCAACCTCTTTTTCACTTTTTTTACCCAGATCTTATCCTCATTCTTTCCAGATTTTGCAAGTATTACCACTATGACATGATTGCTTCAACAAGCCTACAACTGCCTGTTTCAGCTCCCCTCAACAGAAAAGGAAGAAACAAATACAAAGGAAGCAGGATTCAATGATTCACCACTAAAACATTATGCAGTTTCCTCCTATCTGCATTAAACATGTGAATCAATTAAAGGGGAAAACATTAAGCTAATAGCCAATCAACCACAAATCCCTAGAAAGTTCATGTCATTTTCTTTATATATGCTAGTAGCTTAGCCATTGTCCATAGCTCCGGCTGCCTCTAACATCTGCTGCCATTCTTGACATTTTATTCACAAAACCTCAACATATAATATTGCAGAATAATATAGCCCTATGTGATGCAATAAAAAAGGGAATAACATGAGAAATACGCTTATCTGAAATTATTAAGAAAGATATTGAAGACTATGGAACACCTGACCAGCAAAATTATGACTTTTTGTGGCAAAGAACCATGCGATTCTATTAGTAGAGTGCGGGACTATGAGGTTCTATAGTCAGGGATCAAACCTTGGTAACCTCAAAATATATAAACAGAAACAACAACTTGCTTCGAAAAGCAGCTTTCATCCAATTACATCAGCAGCACTTGCAAGACAGTACTAGACGCTTATGCAGCGATAAGGTACAAGAGATATCATGAAGGTAAGGGATATTAATTAGGATCTCTATTTGCATCTGTTTACACAGCTTGAGCAATAAACAGAATTCAAACGTGAATTACCTTAGGCATTCTTATCACTGGATCAACTGATATGAAATGAGAACTCTGCATGTCAACATTTTTCGGGGGATAAATTTGGTATTAAGAAAGCAGGAAAACTGCTACAGTGGTACTGTTTTAGACCATGTACAAATACAAATCAAACAATATGCTTATAAGCCTAAAACGAAATCTATACACAATCAATGGTTCACCCTATTAGACCTATTAATATTGGTTCCTGTAAGTTTAATACTAATCAAATCTTTAATATTTTTATAAACTTCCTGTGCATTTGACTGTTGAGCTTAAAGCATCAGTTGTTCCTCTCTCCATAGCAGATATACATATGCTGTCCAGGCAAGCCTCATAATAATGACGATCTCCATGTTTCCCTATCCTTTTGTTTCTCTTCTTGCTAACCCATTTATCAAATCATTCTGTCAAATATATTCTGATATGATTTTAGTTTTTTTTTCCTGCAATGTCTACAGTTTAGGACACAACACACTTACCAGCAATTATCTGCAAAGGCACCATTATTGTTGCTTTGATTTTATCATGCAGATAACAGTTGAAAAGCATACCAACCAACACATTCAGGCAGCAAAATAAAGAAATGAGTTGTAAAAAGAAAAGAAGAGGTAACATCCATTCATTAAGTCTAAGAAGCTTCCATATCATAAATGTGAACAAATAACAGGAAACCAAGAAAAAAGGGGCAGGACAAGGAGACTTAAAAAAGGAGTTAGAATGTTTTCTGAGATGTTTTCTTCCCAAATATTGCTTCCCAAACCAAAGGGAAAAAAGGTGCTTTCTTGTCCAGAAACTGTCTCAAAGCTTTATCATTAACCAAAAATCCCTTCTGTTTTAAAGTTCCAATAACCTTCTCTGCTTCTTCCACGCCCTTCTCCTTACACAACCCCTCAACCAAGCCCACAAAAGTGGGGACATTTGGAGAATGTCCAGCGTCAAGCATTTCCAAACAAAACTCAATAGCATCATCCAAGTGATTACATATATACAATCCTTGAATCAGAACACTATAACTAAAGGCATTGGGAACCACACCTTTTGATTGCATCTTCCTGAAAATTCTCTTTGCATCATCGAGTTTGTGTGCTTTGCAGAAGCCATCAACAACAGCTGTATATACAACAACTTCCGGGATTGTACCCTTTTCCCTCATTAATCTGAAAAGCTTCATTGCTTCTTGGATAAGCCCATCTTTACATAGACCGTCGAGCATGGCTACAGCATTGGGGATAAGACCATTTTCTTTCATTTTCTTGAAAATCTCATCAGCATCCTGTGGTGGGGTAACCTTTTCTTCATGCTCTTTCCTATGCATTGCTTCTCAATATGGGGGCAGTTTTTCTCTCTTGTTAACAAGCCCAAGCTTGAACTTTTCCAGGAAGTTCACATCAGATTGAGAATATTCTCTCTTCTTTATAAGATCGGAATCAAATCTGGCCGTGGGATGCTGAAACGAGGAACCATTACGATCAAAGTTAGCTCCTTTGTTTTCTAGTGTAGAGGGATTGAAAGGCCTTTGACCCCTTGAGGGCCTAATGGGGATACGTTGAGAGACCTCAGCATCGTTCTCGTTGCTATTAAAACCGATGGGTTCGTTTTCTCTGATGGGTCGTCTTCTATCGCTGAAAGGGCGCGTTTGCAAGAGATATAACGAAGGGGATGCTCTTGAAATGGGGTAATGGGGCTTCAAGGTGAAAATCTTCATCAGCTTCACGAAAACCCACCGAGATTGTGATGATTCCATATTATTGCACTAGTTTCGAGTATCAAAGGTTGATCATTTCCTTTTCAATTCAAAGGAACTGCTATGGGTTTGACAGGGAATGAGGGTTTAAGCTCAGATAAGTTGGTTTTGAGCCCAAAAGGAAACAGATGGAGGGGAAACATTAGGGTGATTTTGATTCAATACTTTGGTAGCATTATCTTTCGAAATAGGATTATCGGAATGTAACACTACTTAACACATTATTAAGGATATGTTGTATTGTTGTGTTTGTTTCGTTTAGTAAGAATGTAATATTACAGTGTTTGCTTAAAAGAATAAAATATTATTACAATGTATATTTTACCAAATTATTCTTATTATATATCAATTTTTTTAACAAGTTAAATTGTAAATATTCAAATAAAAATATTTGTATAAAAGATCATAGAAAATATATTTTTTTAATATTTTTAATTTATATATATATTTTTAAATTTTAAATTCATAAAATTTATATAAATTTTTACAAAATGTAAAAGATAAATAGATTTAATGAAAGAGTTTAATTTTATTTTAACCTTTAAATTTCATATAAAATTTTAATTTGGATTTTTTTGTAAATCTAAAATAGTTTAAGGATAAATTTGTAATTTAACCTTCGTAGAATTTTTTTATTTAACGACATAAAGAATATTTTTGAAGAAAAATATTCTATTAATGTCATTTTAGTCCAAAACACCGGGGATGTAATAATACCTAAGAGATTGAGGAGAATCACATTCTCGGTAATAAGCCCCTAAAATACCACTGTTAGGAATGACTTATTACCGGTGGTTGAGAATTTTTGAAATCTAAATACGGGAATCACATTCTGAAAAAAAATATTCCCTCGATAATCTTACATACTACCATCCAAACACACCCTTAAGATAAACTGATGAAATGCTCACTTTTGATTCATAAGTATTCACACTCATCAAATTTTAAAAATCACGCTTTAGTCCTTATATTATTTATTTGTAACTTTTTGGTTATTTATGTTATATTAATATTTTGGGTTTGACACGTTATTAATAAAAGTTGATTGTTAATTTGATCTTTGAATATTAGATAAAATATTAATTTGATTTCCAATTTTATATGAAATTTCAGTTTAGATTTAAAATTTTAGATAAAATATTAATTTAACTCATGAATTGATCAAAGTTTCCTTCACTAGCTACAGCTCATTATCCTTATCAATCACTACCAATCACTCGGGGCGGATCTACTAAGCCTTGAGAGGGCCAATTGCATCCTTAATATTTCAAAAAAAAGATGAAATTAATTTAATATGTCAAGAAAAAATGAAAAAAAAATAATTTTTTATATACCCATTATTTTTTAAAAAGAATAATATTTAAATTTTTAGATTCGTCACTATCGATTAAAATATAATATAGTCGACAATGATAATTAGATCTCAAAATTCTCAATTCACTGTTCTTTTATCTCCCGAGTGCAAATTCAATTTTTATTCTCCATGAACATAACATATAACCCTTTGATTTCATTTAATTTGTTAAATAGAAGAAATGCCAGTTTTATTGAAACAAACAGAAAAAATAACGAAAGCGATGGGGTTGCCCCAAACTAAACAATGCACAAATTAATAAAGCAATCAGGAAAACTTAAACTAAGAAAATAAAGTAAAAGGAAAATATGCTGGCCTTTCCTTTTCCTCGCAGCGCTTTTAGAAATTCTCAATGTAACCGATGAAGAAAACCATATGAAGATATAGCCTATCAAGCTTAATGAGAAATATAAAAAAAAACTACGGGGATGCAAACGAATGTTGGTACAAGTGGTTGAATTTTCGGAATTTGAATTTGTAATGTCAAATTCGAATTCTACCACCGTCACTTTTTGTGAGCAACCTGTAAATTCCTATATAAATCACAATTGAGTTATGCCATGACCCTAAAGTGGGAGTCACCCCTCACTAAAACTTTATCTATTCCAAAAAAAAGAAAAACTATGGGGATCAATCCACCTTATGTCCTCCGTAACTTCAACCACAACACACATGGGAGATTTCTCAACCTAAAATCGATCATCCAATCTCAGGTCTCGATCAGTTGCCTAGAGACGTGACATAGGTAGGTAGTAGGCTGTCCCCAAACGCCAGGTTGAGAGCAGCTTCCGTGGAAGACCTCCGGCAGTCAAAAAATTAAAAATAAAGATAAAATATAATGCATGTTTAAATAAATAAATAAAATACGTAGTTGGACAATCTTCATATGCAGTCTTCATATGCACGTCTGTAATGGGAAGTAATCCCTGCAAATACACCCCTGCGTAAAAATATCTGCATATAGACAGAAAAGTAAGACCCGTCCAAAATTATAAAGAGGAAACATGAAGAACAGTATATAAGGAATTCAACGATAGCAGGCTTCAAGAATGGATAAAGTCAAATGGGTTAAAACCTAAAACTAAGGCAACACTACTCTGCTACCTTAGTTCTAGGCCTTCATTAATTCCAATGACAGAAACGTATAAAAAGTATAAGTAATGAAATTACTACAAAGGCATTAAAAGAAGACAAAGATGATACACCCAATGGATGTGACTCGCCCTACTCGGCTACCCTGGTCTTAAGTCGCCATAATTTCCTATCAGAGGTCATGTCCTCAGTAAGGGCTAAATCCTTTAAATCAGATCTCAAGCAGTCTTCCCATTTCCGCCTTGGTCGACCTCTCCTTCTGGTACCGTCGACTGTAATCGACTTTACCCTCCTAACCGCATCCGATGGTTGTCGTCTTTGGACATGCCCAAACCACCGTAGTCTTCCCTCCCTCAATTTTTCGGATACATGCACCACCCCCAAGGACATCCTAATAGCAGAGTTTGGTGTCATGTCCCATAGAGTCCTACCACACACCCATCGAAGCATTCTCATTTCTGTGGGCTCCATCTTCCTTACGTGATCCTTCTTGATAGCCCAACATTCTGATCCATACAGCAGCGCTGGTCTTATTGCCATTCTATAATTTTTTTTATCTTTTTAACTTTGAATATAAAATATAATTATATACTTTTGTACATTTCAAATTAAAATAATATTTATTTAATTTGAATAATAAAAGGAGTGTATATATGTTTAATATTTTAAATTTAAAAGATATTATTATCTTTTTAAATTTAGATATTAAAATATGTTTAGTTGGAGTAAAACTCTCTTGGAAATCTCTTATAAATAGTAAGCAAATCTGTTAGGTTTTTCACATCTCAAAATTCAAGAAGTTTTATTCTCTTGAAAAATATTTTCTCTCATTCTCAGAAAATATTATTTTTCTCCCTTAGTTTTTTCCGATGATAGTTGATGACAAGGAAAGTTCGTGATTTCTACTGTTGTGCTACTAGTTGATCATCTAGTTGTTGTATCCTAAGAGATAGATGCCAAAAGGATCTCGAGCACTAAGGAGTGACCGAAAATTTATCTTAAAGAAGCTGTGTAGCGACATGCATCAACTAATTCCGATCACAATATCAAAAATAAAAATAATATTTTATCTTCCTTTTTATTATCCTTATTTTGTAAAGAATTTAATTTCTTCTTTTATTTTCTCAAGTTTCGAATTTATCTCAGATTGTTACTCTGGTTAACATCTCCTTCTATAATCACATTTTGAAATCCCAGATCAGTCATAAATTGAATTGCGTGCACTGCTGCCATGACCTCCACGAGAAATGTCGAGGTAATCCTTAACATTCCCCTTCGACATGCACCCATGATTTGTCCCTCACCATTTTGAATCACCACTCCTGACCAAGCTTTGTTTTGTCCATGCGACAAACAAGCATCAAAGTTGACTTTCACAGCGGGTGCAACAAGAGGTTTCCATCGAGCGATGCCTGGCTCTGAGAACCTTAAAGACCAGTTATGAAATTAAGATATTGTGCTTGAACTAGGGTAACAATTTCTTCAACCCTTAACTGAATTTTTTTATATATTAGCTTGTTTCGTGCAAATCAAAATGCCCAAATAATGACCACAATTTTAATATGTCTAGAATTTAAATATTGATTGAAGAGTCATAGTAACCAATCTAATAAATCACCAACCAATTCAGTAGGCTATTGGTAACCCATCTCAGACCAAATTACTCGAGCTAATTTGCAAGCACAAATAACATGTAAGCCAGATTCAATAGTGTAATTGATAACTCTCTAAAAGAGTTTGTAACACCCTAGACCAGTATGACACACAGTCGACCAATGTAGGATGTCACACGGAACCACCGGAGTGGCTGACCAGCACCTTACTATTTTCTTGTACTATAAAATGATCATTTCCACAAATAAAACATCCATGAAATAATATAATTTAAAATTTATATTGGGAGCACCCAAAATAAATATTTACAATTAAAATATTATAGACCGACTCTTAATAAAATTTATGACTCAACTGATACAACAGGGTTTATAAAATATACATGCCCTTCAAAAACTGCTGAGACGTACTCTGAATCTGAACTGGATTTGGACCTTGATCTATTTACTGCTCCTCAAACTCTCGATCTACTGACTTGCCCATAGAAAACAATCAGAAGTTAGCTCAACGCCACACTAACAACTAAAACATACTAAAAGTTTGTCACTGATATGCTCAAGCTATCAAGTCTACTACTATCTGGTCTATTCGGCTTTAGTGAGTATACTCGTATACTCACTCTCTATTCTATGGTAGACATCATGGTGTGGTTGAGGATTTTGCATATCGGAGCTTACACACCCCTCTAGTCTACCGAGAATGTAGCCCCCAGAATCTCTGCATCGGACACCACACTCTTGACTAGCCCACTCCTTGAGTGTCGGACCTTGCGCCCAAACTAATCAGCTTATAGTGTCTTGCGCACTCCCTATGAATATCTTGACTGAATCTATACTTCTGACTTTGCTATCTTTTCTAAAGGAACTCGGGTGTCCTGGTCATTTTCCCGAGCATTCAAACAAGGCTAGTCTTATTTCACCCTACTTTATTCTTGTTTCTACGTTTGAATTAAACATCATTAATGTTCTCACTTGAAGTCTTATGTGAGGAAATACCGAAGTGTTGGGGTACCTTGAGTCTAATTCCCTTAAAAACTAACATTTTCGCCCAAAACAGACTAAAAGTATCGATACTAGCCCAAGAGTATCGATACTCCTGCAAAAGTTCGATACTTTTTAACATTTTGTTCTGCCTAGTTTTGAAACTTTCTAGGAGTTTCGAAACTATGACTCAAAGTTTTGATACTCTTGAAAGAGTATCGATACTCTTGCCTAGAAACTCACGAATTTGCCCAAAACAAAGAACAAGTATTGATACTATTCCTATAGTATCGATACTCTACATGTAGAAGTCATAAAACAAGCATGGGAAACTCTATTCTTTAATCCATAAGACCCTAGTGAGGTCCCCAAACATTTTTAAAGTCTTATGAGATATTAAGGGAGCATAACTAAGGCTTATAAAAATGATGAAAACATTAAACATAAAATCTACCATGAAAGGATAATAAACATGCTCATTCTCAACTTTCAAGCTAAACTTCTTTCTAATGATCCTACAACTGGTATGGAAAAGCTAATCGTGTGTTACCTTGCTTCTTGCTTGCTAAAAACTCCTTTTCAAGTTAACCAAGGGCAACTTCTCTTTTCCTCTAGGTTTAGAGTTTTCTCCCACCTCTCTTTATAAACTAAGATAAGAAAGGGTTTACTAAACTAACTAAGCTCTTGGATTAAAGCTTAAGATGCTCTAGGTAACTTGTTGAGTTAATCGATTGACTGAATTGGCCAAGAGGGGGGTGAATTGGCAATAAAAATTTTGGTGGAAGCTTTTGCAGAAAATTGAAAGAAATTGCACAGCGATTTAGAGTGGTTCGACTTTATCAACCGAAGTCTACGTCCACTACCTTAGCTATCCACACTAAGGATTTTCCAACAAATTCACTAATTTTTTCTTTCTTTTTAGGCCAAAGAGATAACCTTACAACTCCCTCAAGAATATACCCCAATTCTTGAGAACACTCTTTTCTCAAAGAGAAATACAAATTTGCAAACTTACAAGAAAAACCTCACAAGGCAAATATGTTTGCACAATTCTAGAACAAAGAAAGAACACTCAAGAATAAATACAATTGAGCACAATAAGTGTTCTTGAAAGCAAAATGAATATTGAATGAAAAATAGGCTTGAAATGCTCAAACTTGAGGTTTGATGCTTTCTCTTTGATTCTCTCTTGATTCTAATTGCTTGATGTTTCTTGTTGTTGATCAATGGCTTCTAAGCTTGCTTAAATACACGAATCACTTCTGAACGTTGGGGATGATTAGAGAAAATAATATAGCCGTTTTAGTGTGAAAACAATTAATAAAACAGTTTAGAAAAAAGTAATACAGTGATGAGTGAGTATCGTCTCCACAGGGATTGGAAGGATATTGAGTAAAATTTATGCACTATTCTAAATTAATTAAGTATAGCTAATGGTATTCACAAATGATTATGCCGAGGCAAATGAAATGTGTATGAGTAACAAAAAGAAATGTCATGGCAAAGGAAAATGGTAAAAAAAACAGTAAATAAATAAAAAGAAGATAATCCTCACGTGACAAGCTTTCAATAGAATGAATGGTAGTGATTGATCTAAGGATGCTAAACTTATTTCTCAAGTATATTTAAGTTTTCTGGACTTCACTTACTCGACAGGACTTTCCTAAAATGTTCTCACAGGAACCTAACAGAATAGGATGCCAAGGCATCTGCTCTCACTCAACGATGTTGGACAACCTAACCTATTGATAAAGACACCTTTTTTAGTCGTTGAAATCCTATCCTAGTCTCTTCCGAGATCTAAGGGATTAGGTTATAATATTCCTAGGTCGGTTCAAATCCCCTTGAAAATGCCATAACTCATTGCTTATGAGGATCTTATCTTGCGTTTCTTCCGAATACTTACAAGTATTTTTAGCTTAGGATTCTTCCGAACACCTAACATTCATCTAAGAAATGGACATTTACATGCCTCTTACAAGCCTAGATGGTGAAGCATTCACAAGCAAAGCAAATAAAGAACCAAAATAAACTTAAATATACCATTAAAAATAAAGTTTAAACATCCATTAAACCAACCACCACCAAATAAGTTAGTTCATGGTAGGGTTCGAAATATTCATAGAAAAATCCATAAAATATTCGTTCCAACAACCCACAAATAAAATAAATAAAAATAACAGCAAAGGGAAGTGAGAAAGAGCCTTCGACGCGCGCCATCGGAGGTCTCCTCGGCCACCACGAACCGCCTTAGCTCGCTAGCTCCTCTCGGCGCCTAGCTCGCCACTCCTTGAAGCTTTATCAATGGAGGAAAACCCAAGGAAGAAGAAAGGAAAAGGGAAAATAAAAATATAATTTTTCTGCTACAATATGCGTCTCCTTTCTTCCCCACACTCTCTCTCTTGTGAGGTGTAATATATAATAAAAATATCTAGGGGTAATGATGATGTTGTTGGGATATTGTTGGGTGCAAAATACCCCTCATACCCCTAGAATCACATGTTGTGCATGAACCTTATCCTCCAGGTGTCAGTGGTCCCCTAGCAGGCTGTTACAGCCATCATTTCACGTGCAGAGCCAGCTGTCCACATACAGCTGTATATTTTTGTCGTTTTCTGTGCCAGAAATGCCAAGGCATTTCAATCTGCTTCAGCAACGTGTGATGCCGTGGCATTACTTCCCAGCTCGCCTATTTTGCTTGTTATTTCCTGCACATACTAAAAACCACACATTCCTCTTCATATAGCACCTTAATAAAATAAAATAACATAACCACAAAAAATGCAATTATATGCAGCTACATACCTCTAAAATGACCTATATGTACCCTTAAACAAATAATAACTTAAGTTGAAAAGGCCTTAAAAATAGTCTTTTTACGGAGTTATCAGTACCTCCTATGGGGAATCGGTTCCCTAAGTGTAAAATTCAAATATTTCGACCGTTATACAAGGGGGAATCGATACCCCCTGGGGGGGAATCGGTTCCCTCCGAGCATACTGGAATTCTCGGAGCCAAACCATTCAGGTTGGAATCGGTACCCCCTTGGGGGGGAATCGGTTCCCTTTGAGCAATCTGGAATTTTTGGCTTTGAAATGGTTCGAAATACTTTGTAAAATTATTTTGAAATTGTTTTAAGATTAAAACTTAATTTTACACTTTGAGTAAGGATTAAAAATGATCTTTGAAAGATTTGGAGTAATGTTTTGATATTCGAATAATTCTATCGAATATACTTAGAAAATCATTTGGAAAATCTTAAAATTCATTTAACTTAATTTGTTATATCGAAATATCAAAATGTTTTCAACAATCTCCCCATTTTTGATATAACAAAACATTTTAGTAATTTTAAGATTTTGAAATCAAGTTTTGAAATTACTCCCCCTTACTTTAACACTTCTCCCATTTATCATTTAAAAACACTTTAACACTTCTCCCCCTTTTTGTTAAATCAAAAGGACTTTTTAAAGAATTTAAACAAGGTTTTGAAATCATTTAGCCAATTGATTATATATAATATAAGCTGTTAAGATCACAAGCAAGAGAAACATTAGCCATTAGTTTCATAATCAATATTCATAATTAATGTGAAATGGCAAAATTGGTCATATATCTAATCATGAAGTAAATGATGCAATAATGAATAAATTTAATCACACCAAATAGATAATTTCTAACCATTCATAAATCCAAACAAATTCAAAGTCAATCAATCCACAAATTCAAACATTCCAAAATATTCAAAATGTTAAAACAATAAGTTTGGAGTTCAAAGCAAAACATTGAATCACATATCCGGATCAGGAGGAGGAAAATGAGCTCGCATAACGGCCATTTCGTTAGTGAGGTCATTAATACGTGCGTTGGTTGCTTCATTATTTGCACGCATTTCCCGAATAATTTCTAATTGTTGAGCTCCCATTGTGGATAAATGAGACTCTATAGAAGTAAAGCGAGAATCCATAGTAGCGTATCGAAAATCGAATGTCTCCATAAAGGATTGGAAATATGGAGGCATTGGATGCGTTTGTTGTGCTTGCTCTTCGGGCTGCTCCTCGGGCTGCTCAGGCTAATCTTCGACTTCATCGATGTCTCGCATTAATTGCTGAAGCTCGAGATCTTTGTCAGCTTCGGGTGGAGCTTGTGAAGAACTAGCTCCCGGAGTATTTGCAGAAGATCGAACCCATTCACCGGTTTCCTTATCCTTAATCTATCCCGCTCTCGTTAAGGAAAGAAGGTTAATTTGTTTCTTAAGGGGAAAAACGGCATCTAGACCGACTCTAAGCCCAGCTTTGGAAAATAGATTACTCAAAATGCAACCGTAAACAAGAGATAAACAGAGTTTTTTGTTAGGAACAAGATTTACGGTTTCAACAATTTCAGCAAAAATAATCTGAGGTAGGTTGATTTTAATATTATTTTCGAAACAATGTAACTACCAAAGATCTAAGGCTCTAAGAGTAGAATAACGACCTCCGGATGGTCGAAACCACCAAGAAATCATTAGATGAAGAAAACGTTCATGAAGGTTAGGACACTTGCATTATCCCTACTTTTATAACGAGATCCTAAAACTTGTTTTTCATTTGAAATACCATCATTATCTAATCCGAATGTATTGGCTATGTAAGCCGAGTTAATATATAAGAATTGTCCTAGAAGGTATGAACGAATTCCTATGATTTCGGTTTCAGTTTGGTTTTTAACACAAACGGCATTAGAATAGAAAATAAGAACAAGTTGATGGTAAACGATGGGTTCAAGGTCAAAGAGTTTATCAAATTTCCACTCTTGTAAAAGAGGAAGATATTTAAAATTGATAGCTAACATAGCTTGACGAGAAGGAATACGTTCTTCCCGGATTTTGTAAGAGTCGAAATATTGATAATACCAAAAACAATGATTTCTAAGACCAGGATGATTGAAACACGAATTTTGGATAGTCAAATTAGGATCAATAGGATTAGGATTAGAAATTGGAATAGGTGGAGGATTTGGAGGTGGATTTGGTTGACGGTGTGAACAACTAGATGAAGACCTAGCACGTTTAGGATTGGACATGGTTTAGGAAATCGGAATAGAATTGATAACCTGCAATTTAGAAAAGATATGTATGCAATTCAATCAATCCCAAAACTCAATTAATTCCTCAATATTTCAAGGTTCTCTAAATCAATCCTAATGGGCAAAGTTTTTTGAAAAACTTTTGAAAAATATGGTTTTGAGAAACAATATATGTATAGTTTTCATAATAACAACATAATTTAATCAAAACACAATAATTTGAAAATTAATAAATTTTTTTTTATTTCAAAAATTTAGAAAATTTTGAAAAAAATCTTGTGTTTTTGATGAAATTAGTTGTAATATCTAGTTTCTAATCACTAAATAATCAATGCCCGATCAAAAATTCAACCTAGAACTAATTAAAACTAGTTCTATATTCATAAATTGATAAAAAGAAGTTTTGCAAAAATACCTTGAATGATTTCAGATTTGAGTGAGATTAGATGAAGTTTGCACGTTTTTTATGATTCCAACAGGTTTAGAGGATGATATTTGAAGTGAATTCTGATTAAAAACGTTGATTTGAGGCAAATTGGAGATATGGAGAGCGTAGAGAGGAGAAACGGCGTAAGAGAAGAAAAGAGAGTTTTGAGCCAAAACCAAGGGTTCTGCCCGATAAAACCAGAACCCCAGGGGGGTATCGATTCCCCTGTGGGGGGAATCGGTTCCCCTTCAAAGGGGGAATCGGTTCCCTCAAGGGGGGATTGATTCCCTCTGCATCAAAATGCTAAAATCTGATTTTAAACATCCAAAGTACTAAATTAATTTCCTCTAGTGGTATTGGCAACTCATATATTGAAAATTAATCATGTTCAAACAATTCAATTAATCTTTAAACGATATTTGAACATAAAATTAATTTTTCATCAAGAATCATAAACTCCCCCTAACTAATAGCAATAAATGCAATCAAAAATTACTATTATAAGCATTTTTCATTTATTATTAAAAGTGCTAAAATTATTTTAAACACTCAGTGAAGATAGATTGGTCAAACCTAATTCTCTCCTAAGTGTCCAAAATCGTTCCTTGTCTAAAGGTTTTGTAAAGATATCCACTAATTGGTGCAAAGTATCAACAAATTCTAGAACTACATCTTCCTTAGTGACATGGTCTCTAATGAAGTGATGTCTTATTTCAATGTGCTTAGTTCTAGAGTGTTGGATGGGACTTTAAGTGAGACAAATAGAACTAGTATTGTCACACTTGATAGGAATGGTACCTACTTCAATTCCATAATCAAAACGTTGTTGTTTCATCCATAAAACTTGTGCACATCAACTACCAGCTGAAATATATTCGGCTTCAGTGGTAGATAATGCAACACAATTTTGTTTCTTTGAAAACCAAGAAATTAGCATATTTCCAAGGAATTGGCAAGTACCGAAGGTGCTTTTCCTATCTAATTTGCATCCTCCATAATCTGCATCAGAAAAAGCATGCAAGCTAAAGCTAGAGTCTCTAGGATACCAAAGTCCTAAACTAGGAGTGTCTTTAAGGTATCTAAAGATTCTCTTAACAGCTAGTAAATGTGATTCCTTAGGACATGATTGAAATCTAGCACATAAGCAAACACTAAACATAATATCCGGTCTACTTGCAGTTAGATAAAGTAAAGATCCAATCATTGACCTATATAATT